ACGGCCAGGTAGAACCCCTCTGGATCTTAATGTAATACTAACGGTAACCTCTAATTTCAGTGTACACAGCTCTGTCAAACAAACCTTTCATTTACACTCCCAACAAGAAGCATATGCCCAGTAGTCATTTGTTGTAGATTAGGATAAGCATACTACTAGTTTTACAGATGGAGAGGCTGACTTAGAAAGAACTCAGACCATCCTATGAGAATCACATTGCTTTAAAATTATTAGTATCTTTATTTGAAAGGCGGAGTGACAGAGAATTAGAGACAGATTTTGCATCTGCAGGTCCATTCCCTAAATGGCTACAACAGTCAAGACGGGGCCAATAGAAAACCAACAGCCAGGAGCATCTTTGGAGTCTCCTATGTGGGTGTAGGGGTTCAAGTGCTTGGACCATCTTCTGCTGCTTTCCCAGACTGTGAGTAAAGAACTGTTACCAGAAGCTAGCAGGGCTCCATATGGGGTGCTGTAGCGGCGGGTAAAGACTTAGCCGGCTGTGCCCAGGCACGGCTCCTAAAAACTACATGCTTAATATCACCCTCTTTCTAAGGTATAGTTCCTTTTCTCAAAAGCCATCTTAAACTTCTAACTTCCTCCCTTCTATCTATTCTAGGCAGAATCAGTTCAATTACTAAGTGTATTGAGATAATTTACTAACCAACTCCCTCTAACAAGCATGGTGGTCTTAAACTGCTAAAACTCAACTATTATATAGTTACTGTGTAACAGGACCTGAAGAAAACAAATAATGTTTAGTACAATGTAAGTACTCTAATACAGAAATTACAATGTGTTACAAGAACAAGAAACATTACAAGTTGTTCTTAGGATAAGAGAAACGGAAGATGAAATTACAGCTAACCTTGTAGAATGTAAATGGCAGTTCACCAGCGAAGTAAGAATGGAGATTCCAGTGAAAACATACTGGTATGAAATTCAGTCTTTCCTTCAGGTTCCAGCAAGTTCAAGTTGGGGGCAGGAGGCAGTGATGTCTGAGAGGAAATAGTAGCTAATATTGGATTATATACTTAAAAATGTTCATAGAAAAAATGGAATTTAAAGAATAAGTTTGTTTTCACACAAAGGAATTTTTGAAGTACATACAATTTTTTTCATAGTGCACATTTTCCACATATTATCAAAAATGTTAGGGCCCGGCACAATGATCTAGTGGCTAAATCCTCACCTTGCACATGCTGGGATCCCATGTAAGCGCCAGTTTGTGTTCCAGCTGCTCTGCTTTCCATCCAGTTCCCTGATTGTGATCTGGGGAAGCAATAGAGAATAGCCAAAGGCCTTAAGACTCTTCCCTCCCTACTTCTAATGTGGGAGACCTGGAAAAAGCTCCTAGCTTTGAATTGGCTCAACTTGGCACGGTGTCCCCTTAAGGAATAAGCCAATGGAAGCTCTCTCTCTGTCTCCTTCTCTCTGTGAATATGCCTTCCAAAAATTTTAAAAAAAAAAAAAACATAAATCTTAAAAAAAAAAAAATGGGGGCCAGCGCAATACCTCAATTGACTAATCCTCCACCTGCAAGCACTGGTATCTATGTGCTGGTTCATGTCCCAGCATTGGACCTAGCAGTTAAAATACCAGTTGGGATGCCCACACCTCAGAACAGATTGCCTGGGTACAAGTCCCAACTTTTTTTCTGATTCCAGCAACCCACTAATATAACCCTGGGAGGTAGCAAGCTCAAGGGCTTGAGTAGCAGCTGCCCATGTGGGAGAGCTGGAGGGAATTCCTGTTTCCTGTCTTCAGCCCAGCTTCGCCCCAGCTGTTACAGGCATTTGGTGAGTGACCCACCAAATAAAAGCTCTCTCTTATGTCTCTGTCACTCAAAAAAAAGTGTGAATTTTATGGCATATGCATTATATCTTAATAAAATTGCCACTTTTAGTAATAGGTACTAAAAACAATCTATCATAGCCCCATATAGAAGGGCTAAAAGACTAAAAAAAAAAAAATCAAAGTGACTTTGGATAACCTCTAAGAAGTAGGCTGAACTATTACATTTCTTTATTAATAAATATGGCTTAAAGGATGGGAGTGATGGCTCAGTAGCTAAATCTTTGCCTTACGCGTGTCTGGGATCTTATATGAGCACTGATTCATGCCCTGGCTGTTCCACTTCCCATACAGCTCCCTTCTTGTGGCCTGGGAAAGCAGTAGAGGACAGCCCCAAGTCTTGGGACCCTGTACGCATATGGGAGACCCAGAAAAAGCTACTGGCTTCAGATGGGCTTGGCTCTGGCTGTTGCAGCCACTTGTGGTATGAGCCAGTGGACCAAAGATCTTTTTTTTTTTTTTTTTTTTTTATTGGAAAGGCAGATATACAGAAAGGAGGAGAGACAGAGAGGAAGATCTTCGTTCCATTGATTCACTCCCCAAGGAACAACAACAGCCGGTGCTGCGCTGATCCAAAGCCAGGAGCTAGGAACCTCTTCCGGGTCTCTCACGTGGGTGCAGGGTCCCAAGGCTGTGGGCTGTCCTCGACTGCTTTCCCAGGCCACAGGCAGGGAGTTGGATGGGAAGCAGGGCTACCGGGGCCCATATGGGATCCCAGCGCATGCAAGGTGAGGACTTTAACCACTACACTATTGCGTTGGGCCCAGAAGATCTTTATCTTTGTTAATTTGCCTTCCTAATAAAAATAAAATAAATCTTTAATTAAAAAATAAATAAGGCTTAAGGGGTGCTGTCATGACATAGCAAGCAAAACTGCAGCCTGCACGACAACCTGCACCACCAGCATCCCATGTTTGTGCCCCAACTGCTCCACTTCTAATTCAGCTCCCTGCTAATGGCTAGAAAAAGCAGCGGAAGATGGTCCAGGTTCTTGGGGACCCCTACACTCACATAGCAGACCCAGATGAAGTTCCTGGCATCTAGCTTTGGCCTGGCTTGGCCCTGACCATTGTGGACACTTGGGGAGTGAACCAGTGGGTAGAGGACACCTCTCTGTTTCTCTGTCCATCTCTCCCTCTAAATAAATAAATAAGGTTCAAGCACCTGGATTACAGGTCCCTGTGCCTGTGCAGTAATGACCTGTGGCAGAGACAATTTGCTAAGTGACTACACTAGAGAAGTCACTAAGAGCATCTAGAAAAAGGAAATCCAGAATGGCAACTATTGGACAAACTTCTTGGTCACATGCGGAGATGAGGGGCCTCCTGTCCTCAAACTGGAGGGCAGGACTCATACATAAACTTTTGTTAAGCATTTACTGTCTGCTGGTTATCATTCTAAGTGCTTTACAGCCCCGAATGAATAATCATTACAAATCTGTAATTCCATATTCAAAATCTAATAGTCATGTTTCAAAATGCAACCCCCGCCCCCCAAAATCAAGTTTTAGAAAGGTACAGTTCTAGTAAATGTTCTGTCATTTTCCCATTTCCACAATGAAGAAACCAAATCCAGGAACTTCCCTGGAAGACACCAGGCTAGGAGGAGAAAGAGGCAGAAGCTTAATTGAAACTGGCTGACATGGGCCCAATGACGTGGTTTAGCAGCTGAAGTCCTCACCTTGAACGCGCCGGAATCCCATATGGGCGCTGGTTCTAATCCCAGCAGCTCCACTTCCCATCCAGCTCCCTGCTTGTGGCCTGGGAAAGCAGTCAAGGACGGCCCAAAGCTTTGGGACCCTGCAGCTACGTGTGGGAGACCTGGGGGAGGCTCCTGGATCCTGGCTTCGGATGGGCATAGCACCGGCCGTTGCGCTCACTTGGGGAGTAAATCAGCTCACTTGGGGAGTGAATCATCGGACGGAAGATCTTCCTCTCTGTCCCTCCTCCTTTCTGTATATCTGACTTTCCAATAAATAAATAAATATTTTTTAAAAAAAGAAAGAAATTGGCTGACAAGCCTGTGTTCCTGTCACTTCCCCACATGGGAAAGTCCTGCTGTGGGAGCTGAAGCTGGGATCAAGGTTCACCCCCTGGGGCCCTTGCTGGATAGAGCTCAGAAGGCTGAGACGTCTCAGGCATCTTCTCCTGGTCACAAACTCAGAACAGTGAGCACGTCTCAATCCACAGCTTCGGTGACGATGCAGACAAACCAAGGTCCTTCCCTTCCCTGTGCCTTCAGAATGGATGGTTTTGAACTCTGCTAGGCAAAACCCAATGGTTCGGGCCCAGTGCAGTAGCGTAGCAGTCAAGGTCCTCACCTTGAACACTCTGGGATCCCATATGGGCCCCGGTTCTAATCCCGGCAGCTCCACTCCCCATCCAGCTCCCTGCCTGTGACCTGGGAAAGCAGTTGAGGACAGCCCAGATCATTGGGACCCTGCACCCGCGTGGGAGATCCGGAAAGAAGTTCCTGGCTCTTGGCTTTGGATCAGCACAACACCAGCTGTTGTGGTCACTTGGGGAGTGAATCAATGGAACAAAGATCTTCCTCTCTGTCTCTCCTCCTCCCTGTACATCTGCCTTTGGGTCATTAGCAAAGATGACTTGTAATGACAGCCTCAGAGAGGAGGAAGGAGGGAGGTGGGTTTGAAAATCTCTGAGCAAGGAGAAATGCAACTGTCAATGACCTTTGTGACAGTGACATAGAGGACCCCGTAATCACCAGCTGAAAACTTCTGGCTCCCTGGACCATCACCACCACCACCGCCCCCAGGCTTCCCATCAGCCAGTGATGTGAGGAGGAATCTCAATTCTAACCTTTGTCCTCAGACCTGGCAGCCCACATGGATGGCAGCTGTCTCCCAACATTCACCCAGGGACATTTCTTTCCCCCAAACCAACCAATCTCTTCTCCCATCCTCCACTCTGGACTTTCACTGACTTTCTGCCAAATTCCACCTGTGACTGGAAACGTTTACATGTCAGATGTTTGGCTGCTCTATGCCCTCCGCTAAGAAGTCATGCCAGCTGGACACACACTGCTTCCCAGGGCCCCTGAAAACTAGAACAGAGTTGATATCACTGCTGTTAAGACCCTGAACTGTGGGTTTGTGTCACTTAAGAAGACACTTCCCCCTCCCAGCCATGAGCTTGTCATTGTTCCTGATCTTTCTGTGCCTGGCTCTGGCCACAGCAGCCACTCACAGAAGTGGCGATCAATGCCCAGCCTGTGGGGGACCTGCCTTGGACCTTGAGAACCAGCGGGACTTGCTTCTCAACCTGGCCAAGAGAAGCATCTTGAACAAGCTGCACCTCAGCCAGCGCCCGGTCCTGAGGCGACCAGTGTCCCGAGCGGCTCTGAGAACTGCCCTCCAGCGCCTCCAGGAGTCCCTATGGCATGCACCTCTGGAGGACAGCAGGGCACAGGAGTATGAGATCATCAGCTTTGCTGAGACAGGTGGGTTCCCCGTCTGTAACTCTTCCCCAGAATCTCATCCCTTTAGGAAAGGGTACACTACCTCCGCAACATGTGTCCTGATTCCTGCCCCCAAACCGTGGGACTCTGGCCTCCCACCCAGCCTGCAATCTTCCCACAGGTTCTCACCTTCCAGCTCTTCTAGTAGCTCATGCCTGACCAATGAGCAGTGGGGTATTGGTGAGCTTTGTTTCTATTGATATTTCCCTGTCCTCATCTCCTGCTCTTCCTGCACGACCCACAGATTTTCCTGGGCTGCAGGTGGGAGCTCTTCCGTTTCACAGCTCTGCTCATCTTAGAAGCTTGAGTCAGACATGGTGGGAAAATTGATACTACAAAAACTGGTAAACATTACAGATGAGGAACTTATTTTGTATCTTGAAACTGGACTTCAGTATTTTCTTCCCCTATCTCACCTCCTAGACCAGTTGTCAAACATTTACCAACATACTTCTGATCAATTCCTAAAAATAGAAGTTTTCTGCTTGCCATAACGTAGCAGACAATGCAAGATGGACAGGTTAACCATCCATATTAAACATTCCTGTTCAAAGCAGGGTATGCAAGAACAGGAGTCAACAGAGTAGTCGCTGATACATAAAAATGCTGCCATCTATCCAGCAAGTTTGTCATTCTGCACCAAATCCAGAATCCACTGGTTAGGGCCTCGTTCTCCCGAGTTGTATTTTCCTATGGCTCACCACTTTTCTCCTAGGCATCTGGACCCACCCTCTTGAGCCCTCGCCTCTCTACCTCCTGACAACATTTTTTTTTTCTTTTTAAGTAAGAAATGATTTGTGGCTTTGAGTAAATAAACTTCTTAGAATGCTTCCAGCCCTCTTCCCCTGTCCCCTGCACTGCCCAAAAAATTAAAAAAAAAAAAAAAAGAGTGGACACCCATGATCTTTCCAGTCTTAATGGTTTCTTTCCAAAAATGTTTGTGTTCAAACTGGTGCTGTTCTCAACTTGAGAATTCTCTTTAGAACCTCATGGGCTTTCTGAATGATCCATTGCAGTCTATTAACCAGCAGGAACCCGCCCCCCCATGAGACAGACCCTTCCTCAAGCTACAAGTCAGCATGTGGGACAGCACCCTGAAGATTCTTAGAAACCCCTTTGTCTAGTTGAGAGTATCTCCAGAATCTCACCCTAAATTTTAGCTCTCAATGAATTGCCTGATCATGACAAATGGATTTCAGGTTTGATCTCTCTAACCAGGTTGTATTTCACTGCCAATGTCCTGGATTTGAGAGAGAGGAAGAATGAAAAGGAGTTTTAAAATTTTTCAACCTAGCAAGCCCTTTCAGAAATATTTCCTCTAAATTCTGCTTGAAAATTGAACAATTCCTTTTTTAGTTCATCTTTCTCCTGAAATGCCTTCCCCTAGGAAGCTAAAATAAGGCAATTGGCATTTCCAGCATTCCGCCAGGAAAGAGCTCTAGCTGCATTCACAACTTGGTTAGCTACCTTCTCTGGCTCCCGAATCACCACAGGCGATAGCCAACACAGCCCTCAGGTCCCTCTTTCTCCTGCTTCCAGAGGCAGTTGGCTCCCTGCTTGCTTCCTTTGCGAGCCATCTCTCCTCTGCCCTAACCTTTGCCAGCTATTCAGGCCCAGAACCGCTGCCAATGCTGCCTTCCCTGTTGTGGTGGCAGCCTACTTCTGATACGAATTTCCTCTTCTGTTATCTATAATGAAACACTAGCCACAGGCCTGCAGCGCACTAATGAAGACTCCTTTTGAAATAGCCCCATGGCTTATCAGAGCACCTTGGTTTAAGTCTCAGCTCTGCTTCCAATCTCAGCTTCCTGCCAAAGTGCACCATGGAATATAGCCAGTAGTGGCTCAAGGATTTGGATCCTGGATTGAGATCTGGGCTCCTGGCTTCAGCCTTGCCTGGCACTCCCTGTTGCAGACATTTGGGGAGTGAATCAATGAATAGAAGAATTGTCAATATCTCTGTTTCTCTCTACCTTTCAAGTAAAACAAATAACTAGCTGAAATGTATATGTATGTATTTGTAGATAAATAAATGTATGTATATATATATACCAAACAAAAATGCTTAAGGTAAGAATTCCATTCTTACAATATTATGACTTGAGTGGTCTTCTTTAGACAGTTCTCTCCATGAAAAGTGATTGGGGTCATTCATGGAACTGCTCTCAGGAGGGACTAGGCTATCCAAAGTCTTTGTTTAAATGACTTTTCATCATTTATTAGCCTTGCCTGTGTTTCTTTCTTTTTAAAATATATATGAAAGGCAGAAAGATAAGAAAGCTCTCAACCACTAATTCACGCTCCAAATGCCTGCAACAGCCAGGAGCCAGAGACACAATCCAGGTCTCTCTCATGGATGGCAGAAATTCAATCATTTGAGCCATCACCACTGCGTGCCAGGGTCTGTGTTGGCAGGAAGCTGGAGTCAGGAGTCTAAGCTAGGAACTAAGCCCGATGTGAGATGTGGGTGTCACAGAACATTTTATTGTGGTTGTTTTTTATAACTTTAAGTCTGTTTTAAGTGCACTCGTGTGGGATTTTTACTTTTAAATTTTTATTTATTGGGGCTAGCGCCATGGTGTGGCAGGCTAAGCCTCTGCTTATGGTGCCAGTGTCCCATATGGGTGCCAATTCAAATCCTGGCTGCTCCACTTCCCATTCAGCTCCCTGCTTGTGGCCTAGAAAAGCAGTTGAGGACGGCCTAAAGCCTTGGAACACTGTGCCCATGTGGGAAACCCAGAGGAAACTCCTGGCTTCAGACTGACTCAGCTCTGGCTGTTGCGGCCATTTGAAGAATAAACCAGTGGATGGAAAATACTTCTGTCTGACTGTCTCTCTCTCTAATCTGCCTTTCCAATAACAATAACTAATCTTTAAAAAAAAAAAAAAAGGTGGGTCCCGACGTGATAACCTAGTGGCTAAATCTGTGCTTTATATCCTCCAGGATCCCATATGGGCACCAGTCCATATACTAGCTGCTCTACTTAAGCAGTGGAGCACCCAACACAACAAATGTGTGCTTAGGTCCTTTGTTGTCTAATTACTACATTCTATTTTAATGTAGACTTTATAAAAAGTTTTTATTCATTTTCATTGGAAAGTCAGATCCACACAGAGAAGGAGAGACAGAGAGGAAGATCTCGGCTTGTTCACTCTCCAAGTGGCCACAATGGCCAGAGCTGAGCCAATCCAAAGCCAGGAGCTAGGAGCCTCTTCTGGGTTTCCCACATGGGTACAGGGTCCCAAGGCTTTGGCCCATCCTCTACTGCTCTCCCAGGCCACAAGCAGGGAACTGGATGGGAAGTGGAGCTGCTAGGATTCGAACCAGTACCCATATGAGATCCTGGCGTGTGCAAGGCTAGGACCTTAGCCAATAGGTTATCATGCCAGGCTCAGCACACAAGTCTTTCATGTTAGGGAGCCAAATTGTATCCAGTTATCAGTGGGAAACCATCAGAGGGCTTAAAGCCATGGAGACAAAGCTGATCGGATTTATATAGTAAAAAGATTAAGCTGAGAACAGGTGGTGTTATATCGGGGGCTAAGCTGTAACTTGGGACACTCACATCCTGTCTCAAGAGTACCTGGTTTGGGCCCGGCACAATGGCCCAGTGGCTAAATCCTCACCTTGCACACCCAGGATCCCATATGGGTGCCAGTTCGTGTCCTAGCTGCTCCATTTCCCATCCAGTACCTTATTTGTGGCCTGCAAAAGCAAGGTTGTATGTCAGACTAATGTGTTGTAGATGAGGTGAAAGAAAAGAAATTATATTATGAATCGGAGGTAGAGCTGATAGTTCTTTGAGATAATTTTTCAAAGGAGGAGATGAAAGTAGTGAAAGTAATACATTTATAAGGAAGGATAAAGTTGGAGGAGGAACAGATTTGGGTTGGGGAGATAAATTTAGAACATGAAAAGTTTGAGATATCACTGGATATTCAAGTAGAATAGTAGAAGAGTAACTGGATATACAGTGGGGAGCCCAAGGAGAGGTCAGGGCCAGGGATATGAACGTGTACTTGTTTTTCAGAGTTACCATCATGTAGATGAAATTGAAAGGCATGAGAACTGATGAGTTCAACGTGGGAGAGTACAGCTGGAGAAGAGAAGGGAACTTGGGACCTCCAACACTGAGAGGCCAGGCGAAGGGAGAAGAACTGTCAGTAAAAGAGACAAAGATGGACTGGCCAATGTCATTAAAACCAAGAGATGGAAATATTTAAGAAGGAGGGAGTGCTTAATTCTGTCAAACACTGCTTCAAGGTCAAGTAAGATATGGCTGATTTTGACAAGAGCCATTACAGTAGAAGGAATAAAAAAATATATAATGAAAATGTCTCAGTAGAGCAGATGAGAGATGGTGAGGTGAAATCAGGCAGTAGTGATGGAGACAGAAAGAAATGCAGACTTTTTAGAGCCGTGTCAATGAGATGCTGAATGAAGAGTGAAGCAGGGTTTCTTTTTTTTTTTTAAGATTTATTTTTATTATTTTTTTATTGGAAAGGCAGATATACAGAGAGGAGAGACAGAGAGGAAGATCTTCCGTCCGATGATTCACTCCCCAAGTGAGCGCAACAGTCGATGCTATGCCGATCTGAAGCCAGGAGCCTCTTCCAGGTCTCCCACGCGGGTGCAGGGTCCCAAAGCTTTGGGCCGTCCTCGACTGCTTTCCCGGGCCACAAGCAGGGAGCTGGAAGGGAAGCAGGGCTGCCGGGGATAGAACCAGCGCCCATATGGGATCCCGGGCGTGCAAGGCGAGGACCTTAACCACTGCGCCACCGCACCGGGCCCCAAGCAGGGTTTCTAGAGATGATGTTCAGGGGAGGCGTACAACCAACTTTTGTCTTCCATTCTGCATGAAAGGCAGAGAGACAGATATTCAATTCACTGATGTACTTCCCCAGTGCTGGGTCACACCGAAAGAGGAGCTCAACTCAGACCCCATCTTCCACAGGAGTGGTAAGGACCCAATGACTGGAATCAGCACCTGCTGCCTCCAAGGATGAAAACCAGCAGGAAGCTGGATCAGAAACAGAAAATCAGGGATCTTGATATGGGATAAGAGTTCCCAAGAGGGCCACTTCAGCTGCTGTTCCAGATGTGCACTCACTACTAGTCCTGAGAAAGAGGAATGTACCTGTGTGTGTGCGCGTGCATGCACATGTGTAGGAAGGTAAACAATGTTTTGAGGGTTGGGACAGACTGGTTTTAATATGCTGACAGAATTTTTATGTTGCAGAAGTAAGCAGTTAGAAGTTTAGGATTGAGGCACAGTGACTACAAAATTTGTATGTCCAGTCGAGATATTCAACACTGGGAAGATAGTAGAGGACGGCCCAAAGCCTTGGGACCCTGCATCTACATGGGAGACCCAGAAGAGGTTCCTGGCTTCTGGCTTCAGATTGGCTCAGCTTTAGCCACTGCAGCCACTTGGGGAGTAAACAAGCCGGTGGAGGATCTTCCTCTCTGTCTCTCCTCCTCTCTGTGTATCTGACTTTCCAATAAAAATTAAATCTAAAAAAAAAAAAAGCTATCTGGACCAAATACACAGATTTAGGGATCATCAGCATAAAGCTGGTGCTGGCCAATCATCAATGCTGCTAAGAGCTCCCCTCAGTGTAGAATAAAAGGAAATGAAGGCCAAAGAGAGACCTTGGAGTGGCAATTGATGCAGCAGATAAGATGCCACCCTATGTCAGAGGACCCAGGTTTGAGTCCTTTTTCAGCTTCTGATTCTAGCTTCCTGCTAACACATACCCTAAGAGGCAATAGTGGTAGCTCAAGAAGTTAAGTCTCTGCCACCTTCATGGGAGACCTGGCCCAAGTTCCAGGTTCCTTGATTTGTCCTTTCCCAGCCTTAGCTGTTGTGGGCATTTGGGAGAATGAACCTGTAATGGGAGATGTCTCTCTCACTCCTTTTCAAATAAGTAAAATATTTCAGAAATGATTGCAAAGAATTCTTGCCTAGTAGGGTTGGTCAAAGAGAGGAAAGACAGCACGGAAAATCAAGGAAGAATCTTAACTGCGTCATGGAAGCATGAGAGGAGCAAGTCTCTAAAAGGCAAAGGTAGCCAACAAGGCTTTCTAAGCCCTTTCTGTGCAGCTGTCACAGCAAACCCCACACCAAGTCAGTTACAATGAACAAGCCTTCGTAAGCCTGTGGTTCTGGGGGCAGGGAAGTCCAAGATTTGACGCCAGCATCTGACAAGTGGCCATGGTGGAAGGACAAAGGGCAGGGGGTTTGAAGGGCTTGTTGTTTTCTGAAGAACTCACTCCTGAGATGAGGATTCACATTCTTTCATGAAGGAAGGATCCCCATGACCCAAACACCTCCTGACATCACGTCACTAGGGATTCAGTTTCCAAACCTATAAACTTTAGGGAACCCATTCAAACTATATAGCAAATGCCTGAAAGAGTTAAAGAACACAGAAAATGCAGAGCGGGTGGTAGGTAGGGCTGACATGGGGACAACCGCAATGACAAGGCTTGTTGTATCCACAGGCCTGTCCAACATGAACCAGACTCGTCTTGATTTCCGCTTCTCTAACAAAACAGTGGCTGGCGTGGAGGTCCAGCAGGCCAGCCTCATGTTCTTTGTGCAGCTCCCTCCCAATACCACCAGGACTCCAAGAATGAGGGTATTTGTGCTAAGCTTACGAGACACCAACCTCACTTGGACTACCCAGCACCTGATGGAAATTGGTGCCAGTGGTTGGCACCAGCTCCTGCTGGGACCTGAGGCTCAGGCTGCTTGCAGTCAAGGGCACCTGTCGCTGGAATTGATACCTGAAGGCCAAGTCGCTCAGGGCTCTATCACCCTGGGTGGGGCTGCTCACAAGCCTTTTGTGGCAGCCCGAGTGAGAGTCAAGGGCAGACACTGGATTCGGCGACGAGGACTCGACTGCCAGGGTGGGACCAGGATGTGCTGTCGACAAGCATTCTTTGTGGACTTCCGTGAAATTGGTTGGCACGACTGGATCATCCAACCTGAGGGCTACCTCATGAACTTCTGCACAGGACAGTGCCCACTGCATGTGGCAGGCATGCCTGGCATCACTGCCTCCTTTCACACTGCAGTGCTTAATCTGCTGAAGGCCAACACAGCGGCAGGCACCGCTGGCAGAGGCTCATGCTGTGTGCCCACAGCATGGCGGCCCCTGTCCCTGCTATACTACGACAGGGACAGCAACATTGTCAAGACAGACATTCCCGACATGGTGGTCGAGGCCTGTGGCTGTAGCTAGGCTACATGGGCTGTGATTGTCACAGAGGATTATATTCCCCAAGGTGCAAATGACCCCACATTGTGCATCTAAGGAAAACCGCTGGGCAGTGTTCGTGGTCACTAGTCTCTCCCTTCGGGCACAATCCATCCAGCAAGTCCCACATGCCCACTCACATCCAAGAGTTCTGCTGCAGTATGAGCAATGCCGTCTGGGTCTCAAGCAAAGACACTTTGAATTCACCCCTAATCAGCCCCAAACCCATCTGGCCTCCCTGCCCTGTCCACCAGCAATCCCCTTAATCCCACTCCAGCCCCTCCTCCTGATTGTTCTGGATCTTCAGAGCCATCCCTATCTTGGATTCACCAGATTTGATCATCCTCCAAAGTGGGGCTCACTACCTGTGAGTCTTAAACTCTTTCAGTCCTGCTGGCTTACCTAGGTGGACTGCTAATGTTCCCTCTGCCTGCCTGCAACATCACTCTATGTCCTTCTCTGTGTCCTGGGGAGCTGGCTTATCCAAGCCATGGCAGCTGAGCTCCCCTGTCCAGGGGCTTCCTGTTGGGTTTGATTAAGGAGAGATCCAGGCAGGCCACAGGATAGGTAGGGCATGTCTTATTCCTGTCCCCTCTGTCTATGTGACTATGGCTGTGCTGTGTCCCCCCGTTGCTCCTATCTGGCTGCCCACTGCCATGGCTCTAGCTTCACCTGGGTTGACAGTGCTGCTCATACCGGGGCATCCTAAGGGCTTTCCACTCTTCCTAGTTCCTGGGTGCCTACACACACATGATGGCTCCCTTATTCCTGCCCCCACATCTGTAACAAGTTCCTGCACCAAGTCCTCCTGATGAAGAAGAACAGACAGTTGAGAGAGGTCCCCAGTCTCCAGCTGACACACCCAAGTGACCCAGAGCCCATCTTCCCTGCCCACACTGCTTCTCCTTCACATGGTCTCCTCAGACCTGGCACTTGGATTCAACTCCTCCTTGAGGCCCCCTCAGATCCTTTCCACCGCCCCAGCGCCTTTTCTGACTGCCTCACAGCTTGTACAGACTGAAGTTTCACCTCCGCCCTCACTCCAGTCACTGAGACCTACAGTGAGTCAGTGAGCATGCTGACAGGGTGCTGGTACACACGTGCTCAGAGCCATCAGCCCTGCCTTGGGGCTAGCAGTTGGCACCTTCCTCTGCTTCCTGTCATCCATCCCAAGGCTCTAGCTAGGAATCCTGTTTGGAAGTCACAGCCGGACAGGGCTGAGGGAATGGGAAAGCCTGGGATGAGGATCAAGGTGGCATTTCCTTGAGACAAGGTCCTCTTCAAACCTTGGGCTCGCTTCCCCCACCAGCCATTCCCTGTGCCTGGACAGCCCTAAAGTACAAGATCAATATCGTCTGCAACCCAAGGCCAGGTTTGCGCAAAATCCCTGTGTCCCCAGGGGGACGTGATGTCTATGTTTGCTCATCATATAACCCCCTCCTAGTAGGGTAAGAGTCCCCAGCCTGGACGTGCTAGAGGAGAGCATGGGAAAGTGACTTCCCAGGAGACTGAGCTGTGTAGCAGCCAGAGGTGGCTCACCAGTGACTTGAGGAGTCCATTCTCTAAGAAGGGTTTCTGGGGTCACCCTTGCAACCTCACCCAGGCTCCTTTCCATCTGACCTCCTTCCCTCCGGTGACAATTGCTTTAGCCGCAGGGACTGGCTTAAGGTGAAATGAGACACAAACCTGGTGGGCATAATTTAAAGGAGAGGACAATAATAATAATAAAATAAAAATAAGTCATACCTCAAGATAAATAATATTGAATGCAATATTTTTAAATAAAAATTAATGCAAAAAATCCATGGCTATTAAAACAGCAGGTTTCCCCCCACCACCCCCCTTTTTTTTAGCACTGTCTTTTATTAAAAAAAAAAAAGGGAAAGAATAGGTGATGGGTTCGCCTTCCTCCTGATGTTTTCCTTCAGACCAGGCTAAGCCCCACTTCAGGACACCTTCTGGCTTTTCTCAGCTGGGCCAGGTAAACTCTGGCATTCTTGCAAATTCCTCAGCCACCCCCAAGCCTGTAGCTACCCCCAGCCCCCAGCCAGGTTGGTGGTGGGGCAGGCAGGGAGGCAGATGGCTGGGGTATTTATAACCTGGGAGCACTTCTTGGGGAAAGTGACTAAGATGCTAAGAGCATATTTATAGCTGAGTTCTGACGTAAGTGTCAGTGGGGAGGTAGGGCCAGGCCAGGCACAGCAGCCAGGCAGTGGGAAGAGCTGGGAATTGGGAGCACCTGACAGAGAAGGTGTGTGTGTTGGGGGGGGGGGGGCGGGTGTAAGGGGGTGGAGGTGGGGTCGATGTCTCCCACAGCCACTTGCTCCTTCTGCTTCTGTCTGCTGATCTGCAGGGAAGCCCTCTGCTGCGAAGTCCTGGGCAAACCCACCTACTTGGCAGCGGATGTTCCAGCCCCAGCAGTTCATAGAACTATCACCCACCAGTCCTGAGCCACAGAAACGGAGCTGGGAGCTGGGGAGAGCGCCACGCAGAGGCTTCAGATGTGTTGCAGGACCTGCCTGAAGCAAAGGCAGGATCCACAGAAGCTTCTGAAAGCTTCAATGTCCCTGCCACATGTTGTTCCTGCTAGGAAACAGGAGCCTGACACTTATCAGCAAACACCACTGCCATGGTGTCAGGGTTGTCAAGTCCAAAGGCAAAGGCTTGATGTGTTCCCAAGGAATGGTCTCTGGCCCCTGGCTATGGGAAGGCAGGAAGAGCAGAGCAGCCAGCTACTCTTTTTTTGTCCCACGATTGCCCTTCACTCCTAATGCAGTCACTTGCTTCTCCCTGGGAAGCTGTGGTCAACCCAAACCAGCTGCTGTCTGGAGGCACAGCACTGCCACATGGTGGACACTGCTGGTACTGAGGCACAGCCTTCAAAGTGCCCGCCACCTCCCTAGTGCCCAGTCACTGGGATGTTGCTTAGGGCTCCCAAACCCACATTGGAGTGCCTAGGTCTGAGGCCCATCTCTGGTCCAGATTCAACTTCCTGCTGAATGCACACCCTGGGAAACAGTAGGTGATGGTTCAAGTATTTGGGTCTCTGCCACCTATATAGGGGACCTGGACTGTGTTTCAGGTTCCTGGCTTTGGCTTGACCCAGCCCCACTTGTTGTAGGCATTTGGGAAATAAACTGGTGCCTAAAAGACTTATCTGACTCTGTGTCTCCCCCTTCTATCTTTCTATCTCTCAAATAAAATGAGAAGCAAAAAAAAAAAAGAAAGAAAGAAAGAAAGAAAGAAAGAAGGAAAAAAGAAAAAAACAAAAAGAAAAGAAAGAAGCCCAGCACAGTAGCCTAGTGGCTGAAGTCCTCACCTTGCATGTGCCTGGATCCCATATGAGTGAAGGTTCATGTCCCAACTGTTCCACTTCCCTTCCAGCTCCCTGCTTGTGACCTGGGAAAGCAATTGAGGACAGCCCGTGGAGGACCCAGAGGAGGCTCCTGGCTCCTGGCTTCAGATCGGCCAGATCGGCTTAGTTTCAGCTCTGCCACTTGGGCAGTGAACCAGCACATGGAAAGTCTTTCTGTCTTTACTCCTCTCTGTAAATCTGATTTTCCAATAAAAATAAATAAATCTTTAAAAAAAAAAAAAACCAATTGGGGCTGGTGCCACAGTGTGGTAAGCTGAGCTCCCACATTCAACACCAAAATTTCATTTGGGTGCAGGCTTGAGTTCTGGCCGCTCCGTTTCCACACCAACTCCCGACTAATGGCCTAGGAAGGTAGCAGAAGCGAGTGAAAAACCTTGGGTTCACACACCCACAGGGGAGACCAGAAGAAACTCCTGCCTCCTGGCTTTGGACCAACCCAACTCTGAGGATCATGGCCACTTGGTCAATGAACCAGGAGATGAAAGACTGTGTGTGTGTGTGTGTGTGTGTGTGTGTGTGTGTGTGTGTGTCCCTCTCTGTTAATTCCCTTTCAAATCAAAATAAATCAATCTTTAAAAAAATAAAACCACGAACTGGGAAAAAAAAAATGTAATCGTCTCTCTTGACAGCCCTACTAGCTAATAGGGGAAGATAAAGTGGGTAGGGAAGTGGATAGGAACACACTTCCAAGCCACACCCCTTTCCTCATGCTTTTTCCCTCCACCTCAGCTGCCTGAAGAAATGATGTAAGAAAAGGTCAGGTGGAGAGACCTCTCCCTTTCCATTCAAACTCAGGAATGAAATGCGGTAAGGAATGGAAATGAAGGTTGCTACACTCTCCTTGCTTTGTCCTCAAAGTCCTGAGGGGCTAGCGCAATGGCTCTCCTTGCCAGCACCAGCATCTCATATGGGTGCCAACTCATGTCCCAGCTACTCCACTTCCTTGTGCCCTGGGAAAGCAGTTGAGGATGACCCAAAGCCTTCAGACCCTGCACCCACATGGGAGACCTGGAAGAAGCTCCTGGCTCCTACCTGAATTCAGATCCAGTTCCGGCCATTGCGGCCATTTGGGGAGTGAACCAGCAGATAGAAAACCTTTCTCAGTCTCTTCTTCTCTCTGTAAATCTGCCTTTCCAATAAAAATAAATAAATATTTAAAGAAAAAAAACAACCTGAAGCCTTGCATTTCCTGCTCCCATTAGCAGAGCCCTGACAAGACTTCTAGGATGCCCCAGATGTAGACAGCTCCCACAACCCTTGAGAGAGAAGGAGGCAGGTGGCTAGGAACCCTCCCAAGTCGCATGCCCTCTGCCAGCCTTGATGGACTCTGCCCTGGTCTCAGATTGCATCACCCCCACCTCTCTGAGTGGCCCCAGACATTACAGGAACCCCAACCCCCACTCTGGCCCTCCTCCATGCTTGCTTCTGTCCAACTGGACTCTGGGCAGCCAGCACAGGCAGGGTCAGGGGTGACTTCCGTGCCCCGTGGCACTGCCACCTAGGCCTGAGCAAGAGAACTCCGTTCTCTTAACCTCCACCAACCCCTCACCCCTGCCCCAGTTCCAGGGCTAGAAGGAAAGAGACAAGAATTCCCCTTTGGTTCTGGGGC